TTTCCTTTCATGTTGTTATATAATAAATTTACAAGTGTATGTTGGCACTATTTACTCAGTGATTTGATTATCAAACAGAAGTAAAATACACTAAAATTGCCTACTGCCTCTTAATGGGATTTACTCTTTTAATTATACTGTCATGATTGTGGCTCTTGCTTTGAAGACAAAGAAGCTCTTTCATTATTTATATTAATTTATTACCTCTGTTCTTTTGAACCAACTTTCTCAAACTACCTGTAATATGAAGGTATAGGAAGTCAAGTGGTGAATGTTCAGTAGATTTTAGCCAGCATTAATGACTATTTTATAATTAATATACTGGTGTTATATTTTATTGATTTACAATCCTCTACCATAACCCATTATGCCTCCTTCCCTCTTTACTGCCCCTCACCCCTCCCTCACTCTATAGCCTCAGTTACACAGTGAGACTTCTATTGTTTTTCCAATATATGCAACTTTCCTTTTAATTTTTTTGAATGTGATGTTATTTTTTTTTAATGTGATGTTGTTATATTTTGCAATAGACATGTGAATCTAATTGTTGAATCTGTTTCTCTTGTTTAAAATGTTCTCTTTTTCTCTCTCACTTTTGCTCAAGCCTCAGGAATACAGAGCTGAAAACAATGAGGCTTCTGAAGTTGGATCATCTGTGCAACAAAATCCGAACCTCGTTGCATGTGATTCTGAAAATGTAAGATTGACTTAAAATGGTTTTAACAGCATTTAACTTATATACAAGCTCATACACACTATTATATTTTAGTTTGTGCTTTGATGAAACTTTAACTTTATATAATATTCACTATAAAATGTTTTATGATCTGAACATGTTATTTTTAAATTTTAAAAGAGCAGATATTATGTGGATATGAATCAGGCAGGTACAGTACTGGGAAGTGTAACCGGTTTCTTAAGTTTCTTAAGAACTTGAGTTTCCAGAGAGCTGTTCATTTCCATAACTCCGTGGAAGAAATTTGTTGAAATGTTAAAACAAAAGCAAGTAGAATCTACAGGACATGATCCCATAGCATCTGCCTTATAAAGCATATAAACCCAAAGTTGTAGAGACATCACATAAGAAGTCAGGAGGTTTTTGTTTTTTTAATTTTTTTAAAGATCTCTTTCATTTATTTATGCATTCAAGAGCTGGGTTGCAGGTAAAAGGTATAGGATGTGAGAGGATTCACCAGAGACACAGTGGGGAGCAGAACAGGCAGAAATATACTGCTGAGGAGAACAGCAGTGAGACCGGAAAAGACAGCCATGCCATATGGGTCATCTCCCTGCTGGGGGATTGAACCCATACCACAGTGGCTGTCCATAGTTTGATAGAACTGAAACTCACCAAACATAGAGGCCTAGGAGATTTATAATCTTCAAATGATGATAGAATTGCATATGGATGATAGGATGATGATGTGGTTGTTTTCACTCATAGTAAGTCATGATCTTTTAATTCTGAACCTTTGGCACAATTATAGATCCATCATGCCTGGATTTGAGAAGCAGAAAATGATAACAATTGTATTTGGTAAATTTGAAGCTAGACTGTCAATCAGTTGACAAAATAAGAAGTGTCTGGTGAACTCATGTATGCATGAAAAGAAGACAGTTATAGCAATGGAAATAAGGCAGAATACAAGCAAAGGGACTACATCAATCTTTTCCTCCATTGGCTGCCAAAATGAATTTAAAAATTTGCATTTCTACCAATTTGGTCTTCAAATCTTTGTATATGTAACCATGTATAAAGCCCATGCCATTTAGAATATAATGAGACTAATGAGAAATAGAAAAATTATTCTTTAGTTTACTTCAAAAAGAGGAAAAATTCAAGATAGTTTGGGACTAAGGATTACTTTTGGCTTAATCTGAAGCATAGCTAGGTCTTTGACCCTAAGGAAATCTAAGAATACTATAACTAGATAATGGAGAGCTGGAAATTAGTGATGTCCTCCCAAGAAGACTATTTGGATTTATGAGGGCAGGAGGTTTTTCAAAATCATACTTTCATTTTAGTCATATGATAGTTTTACTCCTCTTCTATTTTTGTTGTCCTTTTTGACATATATCTTTATATAATAGATAATCAGTCTAGTGTATTTAGTTATATATTAGATGTTCTTATAAGTTCACTCCAAAAATGTTGCCCTGCAATTTTAATATCAAGCTTTCAATATCTTCTGTGTTTGAGTTCCCAAATTTGGAAGTACAGAGTATATGTATGCTTTTATGATTTGTTGCACTTGTGGCCTTATGTAAATCAGGCAGGAAAACTTAAAAAAATGACATTAGAATACCTTTGCATATTTTTTTATAAAGATTTATTTATTTATACATACAGAACTGGGATACAGGCCAGAGGTGCAGGGTGGTGAGACAGAGACAGAGTGGGGAGCAGAACAGGCAGATCGACGAAGTACACGGCTGAGGGGAGCAGCGGGCGGGTCAGGAGAGGTCTGCCACGCCATGTGGTCACCTCCGGGGCAGGCAGGGATCGAAATCATGCGGAAGTGGCTTTAGCTTTTTAGTGCTGTGCTTTAACCTGCTGTGCCACCAGGGAGGGCAACCTTTGCATATTTTTAATGGACTTACAAAACTTGAAATGGATCATCAAGGGCTTAGCTGCTTATTGGACCAATCAGTTTGGGAAATTTTGAAATTTTTGAAATCAGTCTTGCTTAATTGAAAATGTTGGAGTCACAGTGAGAAAGCAAAAGATATACTTGATCCTGTAGTTTGAAAATAATTTTCATATTGTTTAATAGCATATTAAGAATCAAATGCTTTGAGCATTTTATTTGAATTGTCATTGAGGGATTAAGATGATGTTCAGTGTTAATATTTTTTATGATGCTTCCAAGTCCTAAAGTAACAAACATTTCAATTTTCTTAATGTGCTGAGAAAATGAAAAGTAAGGATGGTTATGTTTAGCACAGAATGCATTTGCTCAGCTCCTTGTCATTACACTTGCTTGCAAGTGCCTACCAAAGGGAGTTTATTCAACTTCAAATATTGTATTGTGTAGGGAAATGGGAAGAGAAAATATACAGAAAAGAAACCCTAAAGCAGTGAGTAGAAGATAATACTAACCTTTTCATATTAAACAGATTTATAATCTCTTAGTTTTCTGTTAGATCCAGTATTCTTTGTGTAACAGTTGAAGGTCCTGATGAATTGTTTGCAGATGCTTAGTTAATAAAAAAAATATTCTAAGAAAGACATACCCTGTTATGATTGATCTGAGAGACCACATATTGTAATTCTGAGCTACACCCCATCAAGCTATCCCAAAAGACTGGCTTCATATAGGTATCTTTTATTGTTCTACTGTAGCATTTTTGAAGAAGAAACAAGCATGCCTCCAGGTAATGTTTGAATAGTACATACATTCATTTCAAGGTCTCTAGAACAATTTCCTCTTTTTATATTATATATAAATCTCAATGTTTATGCTTCTATGACATCTTTAAAGCAAGCAAAACTGTGGACTTGGGACTTCTTAATAAATAAAAATCATATAGAAACCAGAAAAGTAATGGTCAAGTTAATAATTAGGTAAATAAAATGTCAATAGGCATGCTGATATTCATTATAATACTAGCAAAAGAGTGATGTGAAAATACAAAGTATAATATGTTCAATAATTATTTTACCTCTCTTGTCTCCTCTGAAAGAAACATAACTCTTTCTCCTGCCTCATAGTGCTTGCTTTATACATGCATTTATGCTGCATTTATAGTCTATATTGCTTATTGATTATTTGTGTCACTTTCTCATTTTGCATTAGATAATAACCAATTTGAGGACAGAGACAACAACAAGATTAGTATTTCATTCAGTACCTCACAAAGTGCTTAACTTACCCGATGATTATTCATATTGTACCTCAAGTTAAAAATATGAAGATGAACAGAGTTGCAATTTTAAATTTTAAAAAGTTTACGTAGAGAATGTAAAAAAAAAAAACATGAATGTGATTCCTGGTTTGGAAATATTGGTGTTAGGCCTTGCTTTGGCAGAAAAAAATGTTTGTTATTTTCTCCAGTGACACCATGCTCACCTAGCATTAATGCAAATACATTAATGAAAAAGTTATGGTATAAATATACTGTTTACCAAGCTGAGAGAACCATATAAATCATTATATCGTCAATTACCATCTTATACAGTTTAATAATATAATTATTGAAGATTTCATATGTATCAGGTGCCTGGTTGCAGTTTGTTTACAGCATTCCTCCTTATCATCATTGCTACTTGTACATATTGAGATCTTCATGGATAGAAGCAGTGAGCTAGGTGCTTTAAGTCATTTCCTTTCTTAATCCTTGCAAGCCTTTAAAAGAAAAATTGTACCATATGTATAAATAATGGACAATTTGATTGAGAAAAATTGAGCAATTCATCAAAGCTGGTAAACAGTAGAGTTAAGAATTTGAATGTTGGTACAAAGCAGACTACTTAACCCATTCATTTAGCCACTACCTTATTCTGTTCATTAAAAATTCCTAGATAAGATAGTACTTTTATATCTTTCCAAGTTTTAAAATTCCAACTTGTGGACCTTCCCTGACAGTGCAACAGGTTAAAGTGCAGCACTAAAAAACTAAAGCCTCTTCTGCATGAGTTCAATCCCTGCCCCGGAGGTGATCCATATGGTGCAGCAAACCTCTCCTGACCTGCTTGCTGCTCCCCTCAGTAGTGTACTTTATCAATCAACTTGTTCTGCTCCCCACTGTGTCCCTGGTGAATCCTCTCACTGCCCCTACACCTCTGGCTTGTACCCTAGTTCTGTATGCATAAATAAATAAATCTTAAAAAAAAATCAACTTGTACATGGAAGAATGAAATTCAGTCAGTGATTATAAGGTCATTTTGGGATGTAAGACAAAGAAAACATAAGTATAAAAATAAAAATCCTTTGTTTGTAGCATAGCAAAAAGAAACTCTATGAGTTTAAGTATGTGGTGGCAGAGATTCATTTCTTTAATGCTTAGTCATTTATCTTGTGAGCCTTTGCTGTGGTTCATCAAGGTGAGACTGACGGCCATGCTTCTATATCACATCTCACTTGTTTAAGAAAACAGTCTCCAGCTCCCTCTTCTCATCCCTCTTCTCCGTCTTTTGTGTCTGCTTCTTCACTTATCATGACTAGTTCAATCAGGGTGAGAAGCAATATGAAAGATTTGGAAGGATTTGCATTTTTCTATTAAACATAGAAAGCTCCAAGATTTTCAGGTGAATATTGTTCAAATGGGAACTGTTGAGGGGAAGAAGATAATATAGGTAGCACTTTATCTCCTCAAGGAATCTTCTATCTCTTTAGAACTAGAAAAATGTTCCTATTGTTCTTACTAGGAATTCATGACCAAAAAAATAAATACAGAAGCAATACATTTCTTGACACTGTCTAATGATGTTTTCTATGAAGAAGGGAGGCATGAGAGATGGGAGGAAAGAGATGTGAACACCAGGAAATCCTCATGGAATTGTAGTTGGGGTTACTCATTAAATGATATGGAGGTTTTACAACATGGTTAATGTATTATGGTTATTTGGGGCACCAAGAATCTTGAGCAAAAGTTTTCAGATCTGAACTTGCCTGAAATGTATAAAGAAGAACAAGTCCATGATGTGGCGATTACATTCATTATGCATTTGAAAGTATTAGGAGAGGGAATTCTATT